ACACACTAACACACCTATAGACATTTGATACACGCATGACAGCCGTCCTCGCGATGCATTCTTTCTGCGCGGGTAAAAAGTTTGATACCTTTGACAGCCCCCTCACCGCAGCACACCTGCCCTGGCTGCTCGCGCTCTATGATGCCCTCAACGACGACGACAATGAGATCCGCGCTGCGGCAGCCCTAGCCGCCGCACCCCTACTCTCAAACCAGCGACTCGTCTCCATCGAAGCGGGTCACCGGCTCCTGCAACGACTCGTCACCTGGTACGGCATGGTCGACGAATTCGAAGCGTACGTAGTATGTCGTATGATTGGACATACCCCAACCTATACTCTAAATGAAAGCGTCGCCCCGACCACTGGCCTACTCTCGGCCTGGGTCCCCGCCTCTGTACAGCTCGCGGAAGCCATGCGTTTCGACGATTCGCTCTTCGTCGTCGAGGAGCAGAACCTGTACGTGGACGAGGTACGGGAGTCGCGGCGCTGGAACAACGTGTTCTCTTCCCTTCCTCCCCACTCTTCCTCCTCGCCATCATCGCCTTCAGTGGCGGAAGCGACACTCTCCCAATGGATCATAGAAGGTCTCCAGACGCTGACCCAACTCACGCGATCGGAAGGAAGAGATAGCCAGCTAGGCTGGACGTCGAAACCCGAGGTCTTCGCTATCTGCGCGCGGATTCTAATGGGTGGTATGACACTCCTCGATGCGGGAAACGCGGAGGTTGAAGAAGAATTGTGGAGGCTCCGGGATGAGGGTTGGCCGGCCGAGGTTCACGGATTATTGCTTGATATGTGCGATGGGTTTGGTGTGTAAACAAACAAAAAAGGGCGAAGGAAAATAAAAGAAAGAAGAGAAGTTGCTGTGAAAAGAGGCTGCAATTTGGCAAGATATACTTAGATACTGCTGACGATGTGTCCCCATTTGCTGCTTGCGGGTTTCATCTATATAGTTGAACCTCAACTTTGGTATCTATCATCTTAAGACATTGCAATTCTCTAGTTCTCATCTCGATGTACCTGTGTTTTTATTTTATGACAATGTTTATGATATTGTTACACTTTCGTAGTCTCGTCAATCTCATCGTTTCGTCTCGTATGCTTATCCAGTGACGTAAACCAACTCTAGTAGGTAAATGGGCTCGCGCCCAGCCCCCCTTTTTCGCTAATTCAAGGCTTGGCCATCTCGATCAATGCAATTCGTATGGTGGCGCTATGTTCAACTCACTTCGTCGCAATGGTATCTTGCGCGCTTGCCTCCATGCTTCGTCTTGTCGTCTTGTCGTATCGTATTTGTCGTATACGGACATCCCCATCTCCCTCCGTAATTAATATGTACGCCACCCCCACCCAATATACCTACATACGCCTCCTCCCCCACCACGACCTCAACGCCTCTCAGACATCTGCTCCGACATAGCCCTCTTAATACTCGGAGGCGTCTTCATCCCCGTCCCCGTCTCGGCGTCTCCATTAACCGTAATCCCCTCCCTCCCCAACCTCGCAACAAGCATCGTATTCTGCGCCTGCAACTCCCCAACCTGCTCCTTCAAAATCTCCATCTGCTTCCTCGCGATATCGCGTTCCGCCCGGACCTTATCCAGCTCCATAGCCATATGACTTTTCTCCTCCCTCTCCAACGTCTTCCTCCTGCGTTCCTCGCTCTTCTTCTGTTCGCTCTCGCGCTTGGCTTCAAGTTTCTTTAATTCGCGTTGGTATTTTTCTTGCTGCTTAGCGATTTCGCGCTCGTGTTTCTCGCGCAGCTTCTGCAGCGCCGATTCCTCGCGTTGCGAGGACGTGGTATCCGACGTGCTGCCCCGCTTCGCAAGTGCTTTTTCCTGCGCGCGGCGGAGTTTTTCTTCCGTTTTGCGCTTGCGCTGTTCGAGTTTCTTGAGCTCTTTGTCGTGCTGTGAGGTTCCTATCGAGCGCGTGAGAGAGTCGGTGGAGCGCATGGATTCGGCGCCGCCGTTTGTGACGGAGGGGGTGAGTTGCGTAGAACTTTCTTCGGGCTTGGATGACGAGCCGTCGTTTTCTTCGATTTCTTCCGCTTCCAGGCTATGGAAGCTACGGGTTGATGATGCGTCGTCGTCGTCCAGGGGCGGGTCGGAAAGGCTGGAAGAGCTCATGTTATCGTCATTAACGGATCCAAAAGGGTTGGGGAGGTGCGAGGCGGCCGCCGAGGCCGCAGTATTTAGGGCATTTGATATCATGCCATAAAATCCGGTAGGGTTTGTGGGTTCTTCTGCCTCTTCCTTCTCGTCGATAGCTGATAGAAGTGGAGCGCTGGGAGACCTGGTAATATTTGGAGGGTGATTTGTTGAGGCTGGCTTCTTAGAAGTTAGCTCTTCGGCTTTTTCAGCCTCCTCTATGAGTTTCGTGTCTTCACTATCGGACTCTGTGAAATCATGAATAGATTTTGATGAGATCCATTTGACGAATTTATTGGCGTCACCGGCAATACCGGGAGGGGTGCCCCTTTCGATCATGAATCGCGGTACGCTACCGCCAGGATCGCTTCGGGTAACCATTATCCACTCAACCATTGTATCGTAGTCTTCATCATTCTCTATGAAATCGCCGATATCTGCATGTCCGATAGTTTTGCCTCGTTTCCTTCCTTCTCCATCTCTTGAAGGAGAAGCCGAATCCGCCGCTTGACGTGCTGATCGAATAGAAGCCTGTCTACCGAGATTCTCTGCAGCATTTCGTAACGATGCCGCAGACTCATCGTTGGGCAGATCTATTGATGACCGAGTTTTTCGCAGGGGTTTTTCGACCTTAACTTCACGGATGAATTCAACCGACTCATACTGGCCGCGAATATAGCCTTGGCGGGGTGGACATTCCGGATGTATACACGGCTTTGAGACGAGCATATAGTGCTTGGGCGTGCCGGGAGCGTCAATAGCTGAGTCAGAACTTAGTAATAAAGTAATGAAGTCTCGCGGCGTTGTTGGTCCTGGAAATTGTGCCGATAATTGGTAGACTAGTTCCATCCGTCAGTTAGGTCAGTGCTTGAAAACGGTTTCTATCCAATGGTCGGACGGCAATGGTTAACCTTACCTTGCATCTTGCCGCGACCTTCGATAATCTGATTCACAAGCTTCTTATCGGCACCAATTCCTCGAATACTCCCATCACCGAGTTTCCCTTGCACCTTCATGCTCTCATCGAGCTCTTTCTCCATTCCTAATTTCCATTTTTCAAATGTAAGGATATCGTGGACGCTGCGTCTCGCAAACCAAGCACCCTTTCCGTCCTTTGCAGCAAGTTTGTAGACGTCTAGACCTAGCGGGTTCTCGCGCGGATTGACCTTCGCCTCTTTCCAATCTTTCCTCAATTCCGACGCTCGATCCGACGATTTCGAAGATCTACTAGATAGGGAGGGAATATTCGAATCTGTAGCTGACCGAGGTCTGCCCGCTTTCTGCTGGGAGGAGGATGAGATCGGGATAGAATCGAGAATGCACTGGGCGTCACTAAATATCTCCTCCAAGAAAGTCTCGAGTCTGTCATGAGCGATATCGTCCCAATTGACAGGCGCAAGGGCCTTGAAGGCCTCGTGGGCACTCGGCATAATCAAGCCCTACTCTTAAAAACCAAGTTTTAGTAGTCGGTAAGGAATCTATTCGTAGGTGTTGAGGTATACGTGAATAATGGTGTGGTCGGAGGTACAGCTGACAGGCGGCCAAGAAACTAGTTAGGAGCTCCAAAACGACAACGTTGATCGAGGGATTAAGACTCCCATTCTATGCGCGAAGCACTATTAGGGACGAGAATAGGAATACACCATAGGAGAAAGAGGAATTAGCTGAGCAAGTGAGAGGTTGGGAGGTAGGTAGCATGAATCTGAGGAACCAAAATAGCGAGGCTGTCAGGACTCAGGAGTTACAAGGGCCTTTTCTTTAGTGGGTTTAGTTAGTTTAGTGGTTTAATGCCCAGGTGGTTTAGCGATTTAGTAGTGCTCTTATCTTCCCAAGGTGAGCCCAGCAGAATATCCTTGACGTCACATTTGCATATATCCAAACTTGTCCCTGATTCACTGTTACACAATGACAGAAAAGAAACGCCGTTCTAGCCGTTTAAGTCGATCTTATAAGTGCATATTTCGCGTAGAGAGAGTTCGTGGTTGCCATTAACAGGGATATACACGTGTGATAAGAATTACGTATCTCCACTCTACAACGCAGCTGAGCTAGACCCCTATTTATCGACCGTGTGTTGCCGAGGCTCACTGAAGATATTTTACCTCTAGTTAAATCTCGTCGAACATATTCCCTCTTAGATGTACGAGGGCAAGTGAACGGAATGGTTCAACTTTCTATCGTAGTAGCTTGTATTGAACTGAGCATTAACATATTCTTACTATAAGCAAAGATCGGCAACATATCTAGGCAGGTATTAAACAATACCTAAGCAGTATTATTTATTTGAAAAAGGACAAGTTTCCCCTAAAACTGAAAATGTGCTTGCATTAAATATAGCACCCCTTTTCCGAGCTAAGTACTAAGCCTCCCGAGAGCCTCACAACGGAGGCCTCTATGAAGCCTGTCTCACAAAGTACGAATGCTCGTATTGGTGGGGTATTTATGTGCTATCAGCCACTACAGAAAACAATTCTACAGCAGTTTCATTTGTCTTAAAAAAAGTCCGGTGAGGGCGTCTTGTTGATGTAAGTGGCGTTCAAAACCCGTCCCTTACGGAGCCGAGACACGCGGTCCTAAGACACTATCAAAGCTTTCTCGCTGTATCTCCCAGTCCTATGTAAGATACAGTGCATACTAGCTTTCCGAGCCTAGCTACCCCAATCAAACGTCCGAGTTTAGTAACTCAAAAATCCATCTCTTCCGCTTACTAGTCTTCTGGCTTACACAGTCTCCAATCATATCCCACCAACCTCCGAGCCTAAACGCTACCCGGAACTAACCGGCCACAGCTAGGTTATAATACAGCACACGTTGAGTTTGACCAATGCGCCTTGATTCGTAAGGATTTGAGCGGTCCCATAGCTCAGTTGGTTAGAGCGTCGTACTAATATTGTTCTGTCTTGTATAGGAAAATGTTAAGTAAATGCGAAGGCCGAGAGTTCAAGCCTCTCTGGGACCATTTATTTTTCTTTTGCTTACGTCTGTATGGATAACTAGGTCTTTTCTCTCTCTCCGGAAAGTGAAGAAATAGGCAAGTAAAATATCACTTTCTTCTAATGACGCCTTGTTTGTCGTAAAAGAGGAAACATTTTGCTCGTCTCTTTTTTTTTTATGAACCGTCTCGAGCGGGAGTATTCCTCGGAATCATTTCAGTAAGATCGTTTAAAAACCAAACCTATCTTAATATATATAATCCAGTGAGTTAAATCAACCAAGATAAATCCGACATCGTGCATCCTCTTCGCTATCGTGTAAGTGTGAAGCTTAATGTGTAAGGAGACGATGGTAGACTTTATGGTAGTCACGTGACGCGTACTACATACATAATCTACAGTTTCTCGTTTGCATTCTTTTACTCTGAAGAGTTTTCGACAAGTCTACCTTAAAAACCTAGTAGTCTCTTATCTGTAAAGACTCTTTGTTAATACTATATCGCAGCCATCTCTAACCTCTGACGATATACCAAACAAATATTACAAACAAGCTAATCGGGTATTTATTCCTATTACAACTATGCTTGTTTAGCCCCTACTACTTACTGCTAATATACTCGAACCTAATGCTTTCTTCGTACATATGATACAACTTTTCCCTTCCCTTCCTTTCTATCAGATGTATGTATGTACGTACGTACGTATACCTACTCCCCTTGCTCCGTGAGGAGCGCGCAACAGCTTATGCTTCCTTATACACATTATACTTCTTTTACTCTTCTCTCCCCCTCTTCAACCTTTACAACCGTATGTTTTTTTACTCTCAGCTTCCACTTCTCACTCTTCAACTCTTGGCTTCAACTACACCTACCAAGCAACACCCCCAACCGCCAAACTCTCCCGTTCCCTCTCCTGAATCAGCGCCTCGCGATCAGCCTTACAGCTCCCGCAATACTCCTCATGCCACGCCTGCAAATTCCTCCTCTTCGCCTCATCCCTCTCCTTCTCCCCCTTCCCCATCTCCCCACTCTTCCCCCTCAAAACCTCCTGCCCCTTCTCCCCATCCCTCGTCATCCACCCCCTAATCCCGCCCCTCTCGGCCCCCCCACCCCCCTCATCCCACCGCGCAAGCGCAGCCTCAACCTGTTCGCACCGATGATTCTCATCCAGCAACCAATTCTCCCACTCGGCGCGCACGACCTCCCTCTCGACGCTATTAACCGTGCGCATCGCGACAATCAAATCATGTCTATAACTACCGAGCTTCTGCCTCGTGGACCGTAACCTCCGTGCCGTCGCACGGCTCGAGCTCCACGCCATCGCCGCGCCGGCCTGTTCGGGCGGGGCATCCGCGTCGGTGCCGTTCGCGATGGACCGGAACGTCGAGTAGCAATAGCTGTCTTCCGGCCACGTCTGCAGACCGGCGGATCCGTACGCCGCTTCGTCCAGGTCCGCGATGTAGATCGCCTTGCTCATGACGACGTTCGGGCCCACGCCGATGCTATTCATGTACCCGACGGCGCGGCGCTCGCTCCACCACGTCGACGCGCCTTGCCCGGATAAGACGGCGTTGGCGAACATGCTGAAGGCGAGTAAGCCCAGGATGATCCACTGCGCCGTGACGACGTCCCAGAGCTTCTTGACTGCCGCGAACGCCCACATCATCAGCGAACTCGCCACGCTATCCGCGAATGACCGGAGCGTCTCAAGAAGCATTTGGTTTAGCGTGCGCGGGTTGATCAGCGCCTTCTTCGCCATGTCCGCTTCGTTGGGCGTGAACACCAATGCTTGCGTCTGCTGCCCGACGTTTCCGTAGACTTGGATCGCGCGTTTTGTGCGACTATGGTGGCCGAGCTTCCGCACTTGGTCGGTTGCGATCTCAGCGAGATCTTCGGCTCCTTGCGCCGCATCGTCGAGAGCCTGTTGCTCGACTAGGTTTTTGGCGAGGGCCGGTGGTTTTGTCCACACCACCTTTGTGAATATGGCGAGCTTACATTTCGATTTGGCGACGTGAGTAATGACGATCTTGGTCACCAACTTGAAACCGTGGGAGTGGGGAAGATGCCATGGCGTTTTGATGTGAGTGACGACGTACGTAACGTGGTCACTGAATAATTCAATCGTCTGTTCATCTGTATACTCCTCTGCTTTTGTGCGCCCCAACCTCGTGGTGTAGTTAACGCTAAAACGGAATTGTCTCTGCATATTTCCTGCTTCATTTAGCTTCCAAGGACTCTGAGTAATATGCTGAGCTCTACTCTCAAAATAGAGCTTGGGGAAGATGAAACTCTTGTCTCCAAATAAAACATGGAAACAAGCTTTAGCGCTGATTTCGAAATTTCGCTCAGCGCCTTTCCTTTGCATGCCTTCAGGTTCATATATCACCGGGTGAGTTGGAAGCTGGAATTTTGGAAGTGGCTTCCGTGCACTTTTGCGTCGCGAATTGTAGGCTTTATCATGACTTCTAGGACTGATTGCTCTACCCGCCGCAGTGCCATCATCAAGAGGAGTGTGTTCCGAAATTTCCTCCCAGCTGTCCATGCTGGGACTTTTCCTGTCCATTTCCTCCTTCTCTAGATTGATAAGCGCCCTAATCAGTTCAGGAACATCCATAGGCTCTTCAGCCTGTAGGTCATCAACTAAAAGGTTCAAACGTGAGTGTAGAAGATCAAGATCTTCGAGGAAAGTCTTGATTGTGACTCGGGTGTATCCGATGACGTCCGTACCCTGGTTCAGATGAAGGAAAATAAAATCGCAGTCTCTGCCAGGAGCAGCTGTCACCTCTGAAATGGTATCAAGACTGATTGTGTACGTCACGACGAGGTCCATCTGATGTCCATAGAAGTACATATTGTCTGGTGTGACATAGATTCGACCATTACCAGCCATCGTAGGCACAACACGATCATCTTCTGAATTACTAATCCAAGAAGCGCGGAAGACTAGAACCAGTTTCTCATCCATTGGAACGTTCGGGAAAAGGAGACGGAATTGGGCCGAATTCGTCTTTAATTCGATGGGGTAGTTAGGCGGGAAGGTTTCTGGAGGCGGTTTCTCCACAGCAGGTTGAGCAGTCTTCGCCTGGCTCATCCTGGCATCCATGCTGATCGCCTTTTTATGTGAAGATGGGCTTTTGGCCTCTTCACCTTCGACTGGAACCATCTTGATAGTAGGCGAGTTAGGCCCAAACGGATCTTCAAGTTCCACGTCGCTCTTATTGGCCTTGGAGTATTCTCGGCCCCAAGCATTGCTTCCCCAATAATTCGCCAAGATCGCAGTCGGCAAGTTCTGTGAAGAACTTGAGCTAAATACTCTATCACCACTATAAACAACGGCCGTCTTACTAAGATTAGTCGTTGCCGGTGGTTTTGCCAACGTTGGCGGCGCAAGACTTCCGGGTTGTGCTTCCGGACCCGGCAGTTGCTGCGAATGCTTGGAACCTACCCCGGTATATCCCGGTAACAAGCCATGACTGGCAGAAATAAGGCCAGCAATGCCTCCACTTGATCCAGGTGATGGCACGGGTCCCGTGTCCAAGCCCGAAGTGAAGGCTCTCCTGTGAAGATCAAGTTTTTGCATAATCCTCGCCGCATGCTCTCTACTACTCTCACCTTCCTCACGGGCTAAGGACGTAACAGATCGTTTAGGAGGGGCCGTTGTAAGGTCAAAGCTTGGTCTCGGTATCAGTCCAACTTCAGGTGCAGGAACCGATAAAGCTCCGGCTCGCTCGTTATTGGCTCCATCCTCGATCTGCGCATCCAGAGCTTTAGCCGAGAACTCTGGAAGCGAAGGAGGCGTGATAGAGAAAGCTGGATCGACACCACCTGGTAAAGAGGAGTTGTCCCTGCTGACGCTAGCTTCGAATGCCTTCTTTTTGGCAACTTCAAAAACTTCGAGCCATTCCATTAGCTGATGTTGTGTCTCAGCCTGAAGTAGCAATGTCTGGTTCTTGGTCTTGACCTCGAAACAGAACCGACGTTCCTCTCCGACGGCAGGTTTCACGTTGCAGAGAAGAACACCAATCTCATCACCTTGCAAGACTCCCTGAGGACTGTTGACAAGCCAACCAAAGATACCGTCCCTACAATAGTACCATCTTCGAATCCAAGTGGTTCGAGAAGGCTTGCCAGTTATCGTCCGTAGATATAGCCATCCCTGTTTTTCCATTATCGCCGCAGATTGTCCGGCGGTAGTAACGTTCAAGGGGCCTCTGGACCCCAAAAATGGGACAGTCGATGCGCTGTAGTCTTCGATTTCGCGCGAGGGCTTGACCGCTGCCAATGCGCTCTCTCCAATATCGCTACGTGCTAGTTGTAGCTGTCTTTTGAATGTGGGCTCGGACAATTCCATCTCCTTTGCCCATCCCCTCACTCGATCCATCTCGTGACCGTATTTCCCAAAGCTTCCTGCGGCGTCTCGCGACTTTTTCATCTCGCGCCACATATCGTAGGATACTTGCACAATCAGTTTGTCTAGGTTGATTCGGAACTGGGGCGCATAGAAACAGAAATCCATGGAGGCCTTCAAGTAGGCCTTGCGGGTCTCGTATACGGCGAAAGCGTCTTCACGTAGCGACGAGGGCTCTTTCGTCTTGGACTGGCTCACGTATCGAGCTAGGGTGGTATCGAAGGCCTTCTGTGTCTGTTCTAACGTCCTCCTAGCTTCTTTGAAGTTCCTTAAGTCTCCTTGGAGGAAGTTTCGGATTGGCTCGACAGACATGGAATCCATTTGCTTTGCAGCGTTCAGAATTTGTACCCACCATTCCCTTGATCCCTCACTGAACCTCTTAAGCGCCAGTGCGGCATAGTCGTTGTCCACATTGTTGATATATGGAGGCGGAATGATTCTGGCTAGGTATGTATGGATGGTTTCCTCCAGGCCTTGCAAGTCGTGGGATAGCTTCGCAGTCGTCCTCACGTAGCTGTCTAGCCATCGCTCAATAGCATCTACTTGTTCGGCGAAATATAAGGCAGAAGATCGGAATGAGGGTGAATCGAGTCCTGCTTCGTGGAGGACAACTGGGACG